CATTATTATTTGGAATTTTCCCCAACATTCAGACCTGCCAAAAAGACATCATCAGATCATTTTTTTCTGTTGCTGATTATGAAGAGCATATGATGTTGCCTGGCCTCTATTGCAGCTACATGATTTTGGATTTCTGATATTTTAGTACTAAGTCTACATTCTGGAACCTCAGAATTTGATGATAATTTCCTTAAAAGGTAAGGTAAAGGCCCTCCCGTTGATCGTCGATTTGCTCGAGCGGGCCCAGTAACGTCTCCATTGGAAACTTTGTTGTTACTGTGTCTGGCATATCGAATACTCTCGGTAGCTTGCCAGGCTCTCCGAGAGGGGTGGAGAAATCGAACTCGGGTCGGCCATGTTGGCCGTGTGTAAGGCGAACGCCCTACCCGCTGTGCAATTTCCTTAATGTTGTATTTAAGAAGACTAGAGCAAATTAGTCATTTGTATGGCTCAGACCCGGGTTTGATTCCTCTGCCCCTCTCAGAGAGCCTGGCAAGCTACTGAGAGTATCCCGCCCGCACGGCAAAGCCTGGCAAGCTACCCATGATGTATTCGATATGCCAAACATCGTAATAACAAGTCTCATAATGGGGACATTACTGGGCCTGCTCGAGCAAATCGATGAACAATGGGAGGACAGTGCTACGGTGCAGTACTAAGTCTAGAGGGATTACTGCCAAAAGCCACTGGGTTCTGAGATTGGTGTGTGTGCCTCTGGGATCATGGTCATTCAGGAACTGGAGGAGGTGTTCGTGGTCAGCAGCTTGGGGCCTTGTCAGGGCAGGGGGCAGGGCCGGGTCCACCCCCCCATTCCATGAGGCCCTGCGTGCCTCATCACTGCAGTCTCATACCTGGCTGTCCATTAGGCTCTAAAAGATGGCGGCCACCATGCTGCTGCCACCAGCAGGGAAAGGTGGAGGGACACCACCCTTCCCCTCCTGGAGAGCCCTATAGTTTCCACGGTCTCTGCAGCAGGGGGTGCTGGTCAGCAGTGAGAGAGAGGAAAGGCTGGCCTACAGTACCTCCCCGTCTGGGGGAGCTGCATCCTCACAGCTTGGGGGGACGCAGGTCTGCGAGACTTCACTGGAGTGTGTGAGGGGCTACCGTCTAGGGTGCTTCTTCTGGGGGGATGTCCCCCTCCTGCTGTTGACATATCAGGTTCCCTGCAGCCTCTGTGCTGCACAGCAGTTCTAGGCCCCGTGTCCCCAGTGCTCGGGTGGAGGGGGTGTCCATAGGAGGGCCACGCTCGGGGAGGGTGTCCATAGGAGGACCATGCTTGGTGATGGTGTCCGTCGGTGAACGCACGGGCCTCATATGGGTCTCAATCTGTGGCTCTGGGGCTTCTCTCCCTGCTCTCACGTCCACAGCCTGTCATGAGGGTTTCATGTGCTGTGTCCAGGCTTTCAGTTGCTCAGAGTGGAAAAGTACTTTATTTACCTAGAAGCAGAATTTTCACAGCTGAGCATCTAGTGCTTCTCTCTCTCTTTCTCTCTCTCTCTCTCTCTCTCTCTCTCTCTCTTATAATTTTTTATCTTATAAAGTAGTTCACAATATTTGATTACATTTAATATTCAAATGGGCTGGAGCGATAGCACAGCGGGTAGGGCGTTCGCCTTACAAGCGGCCAACATGGCCGACCCGAGTTCGATTCCTCCGCCCCTCTCGGAGAGCCCGACAAGCTACCGAGAGTATTCGATATGCCAGACACAGTAACAACAAAGTCTCCAATGGAGACGTTACTGGGCCCGCTCGAGCAAATCGACGATCAACGGGAGGGCCTTTATCTTTATCTTTATTCAAATGCCAATCCCACCATCATTATACCTTCCCACCACCATATTTCAGATGTTTCCATTCTGAACCAGAACCCCTGCCCTAAAGCAGAACTGAAATAATATAGTCTACATTGTTTTATGAAAAACCACTGAAAATGCTGCAAAAAAGTATCCTTAAAGGATTTCACCCAGAGCCATTAAGCCCTTATATAAGAGATCACTAACATGTTCTTAGAGGTTGAGTCTTCTTTACTTTTATATGTATATATTTGTAAAAAAAAATGTTTCCCTCCAAGATTGGTTGCCTCCTACTTTGAACTCCATCAAATATGGTGCAGTACTCCTAGAGTATGGGTAGGCTGAATGGTATGAAATGTTGTGCAGTTCAGGAATAGATTCACTTGAGGGTGAGGCTTGGCCAGAGCATGGCGAGCCTCATGTTATGCTCCCTTCCGGGAGAGAAGAACGTGTGATCTGGATGGTGGCTGATGACGAGATTATCTGGTGCCAGCCAGAGGTGGCTTATGGGTGTGACATCTGAGTTTCCAGAGACGGGGATGCAGGCAGGGGATCACCGTTCCTGCTCCCATTGGACCCAGAGTTCTCAGTCACAAAGTCCCACATATCTGGGTTTTCTGGGGGTTCACTCATGGGTGAGGCTCGACCCAAGGGCGTGGGGGGTGGCCATTGAGTTCAGATCACATGTCCTTTTCTCCGTGGAGGGAGCATAATATGATGCTTGCCATAACCATGCCGTTGGAGACCACGGACGCTAGGCTGTTTCACTCGGGGTGCCCTAGAGGGGGGCGGGTGAGACCCTTCCCTGTCCCAAGGGACCCAGCCCCAGAAGCCAAAAACGTCTAGCATTTCTTAAGAATGTTGTCTGTCAAGGGCCAGGGATATTGCCCCATAGTTGGAAGCCTGCCTCAGGAGCTTGAGGAGAAGGCAGCTGGAATAGAGAAGGGATCACTGAGTCAATGATGGTTGGAGGGATTGCTCGGGATGGGAGATGTGTGCTGAAAGTAGAAAGGACCAAACGTGGTAGCCTCTCGGTACCTGTATTGCAAACCATAATGCCCAAAAGTAGAGAGAGAATATGGGGGAAGTTGTCTGCCATGGAGGCAGGGGGAGTGTTGGGATGGGGGGGGTATACTGGGGACATTGGTGGTGGAAGATGTGCACTGGTGGAGGGATTGGGTGTTTGATCATTGTATGACTGATACTCAAACATGAAAGCTTTGTAACTGTATCTCATGGTGATTTTAATAAACAAACAAACAAACAAAAAACACCCTCAATCCCCTCACCCCTTCCCGAAAGAGAATGATATCTTTATTTAAGCCACACTGTCATAGGCAGGATAAATGACTAAGGCTGTTCTGTTATCTTCACGGAACTCTGGAGTTCTCTGTGTTCCCTGAGGCGAGGGTGCTCCCTCTCGCCTGTGTCTTGCTGGCCGGGCAGAACTGGCTCGTGGCTTTCTGCAGTTTCCTGTGCACCTGGGCCAGTCCTTGGGCTAGATGTGGATTTCCCGTGATAGCTGTAAGCTTTTCTGTCCAGGTTGTTTGATTTTCTGTTTGGTCGATTTGTTGATCACACTTTAAGTCACATGTTTACTTGAATAGTGTGTTTGCGTTTGTGTTTTGGTTGTGCCTGATCACTCCCCCCAACCAAAGGCCCAACCGTCCCTGCCAGTGTCCTTATATTCCTTCCAGTTCACGTCCTTTTCACCCCCTTGCTTGGTATTCTCAGTTTTCCAGTCTATGGCCGAGGATTGCCATTTGACACTGGCCTTGTTTTGTTTCTCTGTGCTCTCAGGGACAAGGGCTATGTCTTGCCAGATGGAGGTGTGCTTCCCACGTCAAAGACTTTGTGCTTTTAATTTTGACTGTTCATGTGGATTGTCTGCCGGGGACATGGGTAATCTTGTAAAAGAGGCTCATATCGGGGTCCCGTCCTAGCAGCCTGGCCAGGACCTGCAGAGGACACTGGTTCATGCGAGGGAGGTTAGGCCATTGTGGCTGATGAGGCAGATCTGGTGTGCAGACCTTCCTTCTGCTCAGTGGTCCGCTGGGCATCTGGGAATGGCAGAGAGGAAGCCACAAGCAAGCATAGTCTTGCCTCGTGTTGCTGGGATGTATGTGCGGTTGGTGATGTGTCTCCCCCGAGATGGGGTCCGTCTAGTTACAGGGCACATGGCGGGGGAGCATAGTCGGCCCTTGCTCAGAGTTCACGGCCTGAGCCACAGACTCTGGGGGTCAGGACCAAGCACATCCTGGTGGGTGCACACGCTTGGCTCTGTTGCTGCCTGCGGGCGGGGGTGACCTGCCTCAGGAATTCATGTGCGAGGTGTTTGGAAGGCGACTCAATGATGCGAACAACCTCGTGGACAGTCTATCATCTAGGAGGTTCCCTGGGTACATCTCATGCACCGGGCGCATGGGTGAGTCTGTGATTTGGACCAGGCCAGGCCCTCCCCCTCCCTCAGGCCCCTGCCTCCCTGAGATGGAGTCCGCAGGGCACCGTGGGTCTGGGAGACTGTTCGCCCTGAGATGTTGCCTAGCATCAGGCTGTGACTGTGTGGTTGGAGCCGTCCTATGGCCCTTTGCAGCTGTGTGGCTTGCGCTGGGGGCTTGGAGGGAGAGCCTGCGGACAGTGTCCCCTGCTGCTCCTGACCACCCTGACTCGGTCTCTGCCCAGCACAGGGGGGCAGAGGAGAGTCGAGGGGGTGTGCCGACTCCTTTGCAGGAACAGTTTCTCAGCCTACACGAGCAGTCTCTGAGGAAGTTGCCGGGCTCAGGCAGGGATGGCTGCTAGGACCATCAGAGGTGGCATCTGTCCCAGACGGGAAATGGGCTCAGAGGCTGCAGAGCCCCTGGGGGAGGAGCACGTTGTCTCGGGAGTCCCAGGATCGGGAAGGCAGAAGGAAAGGCACATTGTCGCCGGAGCAACATGGGACAAGGTGCCCGTCTCCTGGGATGCGGGGTGCGTCTGGGAGCCCCCACAGTCAGGGAAGAGGACTGGGAGGGGTCACAGCCATGCAGGGGTGCTTAGGGGAACGCGTGCTTCCTGGCACTTCAGGAGGGAGGGACACGCGTGTGACAGGCCGGGCCTGGCAGCAGCCGCTGAAGGTCCCGGAATGAGGCACCGGCCACGTGGCCCCCTGCAATACCAGCCTCGGGGGTGTGCCCTGAGGACCCCTCTCTGCCCCCTTTCTGCCTCCAGGAGCGACTGCTCATGACCCTCCTGCCTCGTAATGTCGCCATGGAGATGAAGGAGGACTTCCTGAAGCCCCCCGAGAGGATCTTCCACAAGATCTATATCCAGAGGCATGACAACGTGAGGTAGGCCGCTGCATGTCGTGTGTCTGGAGGAGGTGGGGGTCAGGGAGGAGTGGGGGGTGATAAGGGGAGAGTGGAGGGGAGGGGTGTGGAGGGGAGGGCGTGAAGGGGCGATGGAGGGGGTGGGGTGATGCTGCTGATATTGGAGGGGTGAGTGCTGGGGACTGAGGAGGGGAGGTGACGGCCCGTGATGCCAACGACATTGGTCTCCTGCCCATCAGGAGGGGGACCCACCAAGGGGAGAGACATTCGGGGGCTTCCTAGAGACACCCTTCCACGATATCCGCCCTTCCACTGCCGGCTTCAAGCCCGACATGCTCAGGACAGACCTCTGGACTGGGCAGCCTCAGAGCTGCCTGGGGTTCAGGTCCCATCAGGGTGATGTGCTGACTCAGCGCTTGTTCCCACCCGCCCCAGCTCGGTCCTTGGAGGCTGGGCTCTGGCTCTCCCGTTTTGTGGGTCAGCGACAGCCTTTAGTGACCCAGCCTCCTCCCAGCACTGCAGGCTCGCTGGTTTGCTAGAAGGGTCCTGCTAAGTATCTCCTAGGATTCTGCACTCTCTTTCCCAGTACTGAACAGTTGGGTAGCTGCTCTTGTGGGCTCAGTCCTTGACGACTCCTGCCTGCAGCTCTCAGGACTGCATGTGACATGGGAGGGACAGGTCAGCTCGCACAGTGCGGGCCCTGCGGAGCCAGCCCCGTCTCCTGCAGTGACTGGGACCCGCGGGGCTCTAGCTGCTGGCCAGAGGGCCCGTGGCCATCCTCGTCACCGCCACGCACTCACCCCCACTGCCTGCCTCCCCTGAGCCCCAGCCTCTCACCAAGAGGAGCCGCGTCGAGGCCCAGACCGGAACCTGCCCACGGACATGAGTGTCCATTCACGGCCAGCCGTGGGCACTGCCCCTCACTAGAGGAAGCGGAGGCGGGGCAGAGCCCAGCTGGTGGCCCCAGAATCTAGACAGTGGCACTCGGCACGCACGGGGTCCAGCCTGGCAGATTTCCTGTCAGAGCAAGGAGCCACCATCAGTCTCGGGCCCACTCCTGTCCTCTCTGCTCCTGGCCTCCTGGCCGCCTGCCCCAGTGGGTAGTGCTCTTTGTGCTTGTCTGTTCCCACCCAGGATCTCTCACGGTCACTCTGCTGGGCTTTGTTGTCCTGTGCCCTCAGGGCGCTGAGGAACTGTCGTTCCCCTGACCTGTGGTGGGGTCCAGCCATGGGGCCCTGGTGGGTGCTTGTTGCATGGTTGCATCTCGGAATTCTCACAGTTCTGAGCAGTCATGAGCTCTCACTGGGTGTCAGTGTCCCTCAGAGCCTCGTGTTTGCTGACTCTCCCGCCCTTTGGGACAGGCTGTGGTCATTCTCATTGCACACGCCCAGGTATTGACCCTGCAAGCACTCGGGACTTCCCTGGGCCTCTGGCCTTCGGGTGGACTCTGTGCCCTGCTTCCTTCCTGCCCTCCCGGCACGGGCCATGGGAATGTCCCACCAGACTGCGCTCCCTGCT